TTTGCGAGAAAGGGAGACAGAGAGAGATACAGCTCCCATCTGCTGATTCTCTCCCCAGATGCCTACAATGGCCTGGACTGGGCCACGCTGAAACTGGGAGCCAGAAATTCAATCCAGGTCTTCCTTGTGGGTAGTAGGAACCCAACTACCTGAGCCGTCACTGTTGCCTCTCAGGGTCTGCATTAGCAGGAAGCTGGAGTCAGGAACTGGGAATTCAACCTGGCACTGCTATGTGGGATGTGGGCATCTTAACCAGTGTCTCCAATGTCTGCCCCAGCATTTCCCTACTGACGTGGAGACAGTTTAGGTCAAAGCAGCTATTTGAAGGCAAACTGCCCAAGGAATAGACATGCAGAGGGCAGAGGGTCTCCTAAAGGGCCTGATACCTGGGAATTCATGTCCATCTTATTCACGTCCAGGGACAGGTAAGGCTCAGGCAGGCAGACACCTTCTCATGGGCCCAGTGAGGAGGAGGACACCTTTGTCTTTCCTCGGCGCATTGCGGGTCCCATGTCCTTCCAATACCTGCTCCTCATTCCTGTCTGGCTCAGGCAGCAACGAGGCCAGGAGGAAGCAGGGGGTGGGGGCAAGGCTGCCGGCTGCAGCGGAGGGATCTGTGCTAAACTCACAGCACCACCCCCGGGCCATCTGGTGCCCTGGCCCTTTCTGGAAAGGAGAGAGATGTAGGCAGTAGAGGGAGAGGCTTGGAGCCATTGCATTATTTCCCTCCCTTCCCACACCATCCAACCTGGGTAACTGCCTAGGCTCAAAGCTTACCATTGGGTAGTGGTAGGATGTATGGTGGTTTAAACATCCTTGGCTTGGTTTCAGTAATGTCCAGACCTTAGAACACATGAGGGAAGACCATGCTCATTCCTCTGCAGTTTCCTTAGAGGGGCTTATCTGTGATTCTCACTAGAGCAGGGAGGGTGAGAGGCAGAGATGCGCTGCCTACACCTGACGGCTGAAGATGGGGTGGCAGTCCTGCTGCTTCCCACTGGGGCAGAGGGAGGGCCTCCCACGTGCAGGCTGCAGCCTCCCTGGGTGGCACCTTAGCAGAACTCAGCTGACGTGGCCAGAAGTCAGCCTGCCTCTGCACTGCACTCACTCCTGAATACTGTTCCACAGAGGAGGACACACATGCATCTCGGGGAGCTCCAGGCTGGGGTGTGCTGCTGGGACTGCTCAGAGTGAGGCAGAGAAGTGGCTGCGCCTGCGGTCACTGTGCGTATGCTCCAGCAGCTCATTCCCAGCCTGCTACTCTGAGGTCCTTCCCCAACCTCGCCTACCCATGCCCTACCCAACAGGCTCATGCCCAAGCCTTGTCTCCTTCCCCCAGCTAGCTACCAGAACAGAGGCCTGATAGGGGCAATCATGGCCTCCCTCCTGGTGGAGATGGGGATGGCAGGACTGAATATAAGTTACTGAAGACTGGAGAGGTGGACAAACAGCCTGAGCAGGTCCATGGTATCAGCAAAACCTGGGCTCCTGCTCTCCGTCAGAGGCATGAGATGTCCAAAACCCCACATTTAGGGAGAGAGGGAGGGGAGCCATCTTCTTGCCTCTTTCCCACACTGGCCACTGAATGCCAACACTTCTGGCCTCCGAGTGTCAGTGTATTACCAGGGGAAAGGTCTCTCGTGGGTGGTGAGAGATGTACAGAGCCCAAAAAAGACCACCCCTATCTCTGTCTGTGGTTTCAAACAGGTGAAATCACCAGCCCTGAGCTGCCATGACTGCAGAAATCCAGGGAGAAACTACCTCCACCTAGAAAGGTAGCTGGGACAGCCCTATTCACTCTGAGCCAGCCTCAGCTTGAGCATACATGGAATATGGATGGTTGAAATGGAGCTGGGAGTCCCTGGAGGAGAACTGGAGACTTAGCCAGTGGTTCTGAGTTCACAGATCTTTTGGTCCAGAATGACGCATTCTAAGACAATCTCCTTGTTTGCAAATAGCTCCTTCCCCAGTTTAAATGAGCTCTCCATGCTCAGAAACCCAGCAAAGTGCATGGACAGGCCTCCTCCTCTCTGTGTAGCCATGAGAGCTGGCCAGCTTAGGCATGAGTACAGCAGTGTGCACCATGTCTGTGTGAGTGTTGAAGCCACCCTGGGGCTCACAGGAGAAGCCTGAGTTTGTGAACCAGAAAATCCACAATTTCAGATCTCAGACACTGCTTCTGGCCAGACGGGGCTGACTGTTCTACCTGTGCAGGATTCTCATCTCTAGACCTGCTCTGCTGTTTTAACAGCACCAGCTGAAGTACTAAGACCCTGACAGAAGCTGAGACACAAAACCCAAAACACTGACTCCTGGGGAGCACTGCCCAGCAGCGCCTGGTTCTTCCTCTCCTTTGTGCTCACATGTCCTCACACAGCCACCTGGTACAGCAGTTCCATCATACTCCTCAGCTGCACAGCCACTGGACTTACAAGCCACTCAGTGAATCTCTGCTTGGAACACACATGAAAAGGTTTCGATTTCCATGTTTTTTTCCAAACACCCAAGACTCGCTTCATTAGCAGTCTCAGAGAGGCTTGGAAGCCCTCATCTCCCCTATGTGGCACTGGCCTCTCTCTGGGACTGCTAGGTCCCTCCTGCCAGCAGGAAGCTGAGGAGAAATGCACCTGCTGATAGGCCTTGGATGCAGGCCCTGGGCTGCCAGCCCTCCACTAGGGCTCAGTGTTACCCACACCGCCAGTCCCAGGGACATGCTCCACCCCAGACAGGGTCCCCAGGATGCTCCCCCATGGCCAGTGTGTGCAGTGCTCCTACCCTTCCCTATTCCAATTGGACCACTCCCAGGAAGACAGAAACTGAAAAAGGAGTGAGGGCTACAGTGAGTTTGCTGGAGAAGGTCACGCTCCCTGACTCCCTGCCACCAAGACACACCTGACCTCAGAACCAGCCCCAGTATAGACCCAGAACCTCAGCTGGACACTCCTAGAAATGGCTTTCTTGGCTGATACAACATCAAGCCGCAGGTGACCAGAACAGATGTGCTCCGACCAGGATGGCTCTAATAGCACATGTGCAAGCAAAGCCTGTGAATCACGTGGAAGCACACAGGGCATGGCTCGGTTCTGAGCAGTATGACACGGGACTGACGCTACACCACGCACCTCGGGGAAAAAAGGCTATGCTTTCTTGACGGAAAAGCCAACTCTGGGAAAGCAAAGGTTCTGCCTGGAGACCACAGTAGAAAAGAGGTGTGCATGGAGAATGGACTAGGTCAGCACTTCCCAAGCTGGGTGCTGAGACAGCAGCCCCTGAAAGGAGCCCAGTGATGCCCTCCAGATGCGGAAAGCCCCAAGGAATCCTGCAGCAAAGAGCCATTTCCTTGGTGCGGGCCAGCGTTTGCTTGAGGAACTTGGCTCGGAAGGCTGGTTTCCCCAGCACTGTGCCTCTGCAGTAAGGCTGAGGCCACCTTTCCTCCTGGCCCTGAGCCTTGGCTTCCTCTCCACACGGTGAGGCAGATGGACTGAGTGGCTCCAGAGCCCTCCCACTCTGCTGTTTTTCCAGGCACAGCCAAAGGCTGACTCCCTCCCACCTCAGCGAAGGTCCTGGGTCTGAGGGAGTCCGGAGGCAGAGGCTGTGGTGTGCTGAGGGCTGGGACGGCCTCCAGGAGCTGGTGGGATGCAAAGGGCAAGGCCAGCCCAAAGAGGAGGTGCCCCACGGCCAGCTACCAAGGCTCCCCACTCCCCTGAGACCAGGCGCTTCTGGCGAACGTCCCCGGCCTCAATCACACTGTTCTAAATACTGAGAGGCAAACACTTATCTAACTGATCAGCGCAGGCCTGTTTCTAATCGCAGATGCAATCATCACGAGCACACACGCCTCCTCAGGAAGCCTCCACACTCCAGGAGCGACTCCAAGGCACTGAGTCATCTCCCCACACGGATAGCTCCCTCCTTGGAATCTCGCACTTACCTCTCGCAAACCACACATCCCACACCCACAGCACCTCATGCATATATAGACCCTGACCTGTGAACAATAATTCTCACTCATTCTCCCTCCCACACAGTCCAAACAGCTCCAGCTGCTGGTAATCGCAAGGAGGCCAGGCCTGTGCTGGCCGTCAGCTGATCCCTGTCCTATCCGAGAGCAGAGCCTTCAGGGGAGAACCAGAGACTTCCATGTGTTACCCTGGAGGAGTAGGGGGAAGCCAGGAAACCTATTCAGTTCATTTGAAAGGGGTGGCCTGGCTCATCCCATACATAGGAGCACTCAGCCTCCAAGTCAGCAAATAAGGCCTCCTGGGGCAGGGCAAGGCATCCCACAGCAACGCACAGCACCCAGAACGAAGTCAGGTGTGTGTGCGTGTGGGGGGGTGCTGTGGATTCAGAGTCCTTGGGGGACAGAAGCCAAACTCATGGAACTGGTCCTATGGTGGCCTCTCAATGGACATGGGACACTGTTACCCTCTGTGAACGCCTGGCACGGCGTACTCAGCCTGGGCACAAGTAGCTACTCCATCACCGCAGGCCCCAAGCTAACTGGAACAGAAGCCCAGAGAAGGAGTGTCCCAAGTCCAGCTGGAAGGAGGGAGTTAGGGAAGCTGTTGCTGGTTACCCATGGGCTTCTGGGAGTCTTGCCCCTGAACCCTTTTCTCCTCACCAGCACCCCTCCAGGACCCACTATTAAAGAGAGAGGCAGACCTCAGGCCAGGGATGTCAGTCTCCCTTTGTGTCCTCTAGCTGCCCATGGCCCTCTCCCAATGAGTGTACATTGGGAAAAGATGTTCTAAGACGGCCTTAGATGTCTCCAAGACCATTTGTCCTGGCCAAACTTAGACCAGCTGGGGAAACATCTTCTACTGAAAGCTGCCCAAGCACTCAGGGTATGCAGGAATCCCTCAGAAGATGTAGGGCCACATCTTAGAGCCAGGACTGCCCCTCCCCCCAGAAGACAAGGGAAATGAGTGGGAAAGGAGAGCTGGAGAAAGAGCAGAAGGGAGCAGGAGAGGGGGTGTGGTGGCGACGCAGAGGGGGTTTACCTGGGTGAGATGAGGGTTGGGGTTGAACCCACACTGGTTGCAGACTTTGTTGTGACACTGGGTGCAGGTGTTGAAGTTTGGCTGGCTGGGGGTCGACGTGAGGTCCGAGGTCTTGCATATGGGACACAGGGTGCTGCTGGGAAGGGGGGCAATCTGGGGGACGGAGTAGGGTGATGTGGGGGTGCTGCCTCTGTCCGGCGACACCGAGGGGGACCGCCCTGCTCTCTGCGTCCTGCTGTCTACCTGCAGCGTCCTGCGGGGGCCATCAGCCTCCTGGCCTGCTGGGCCCTGCGCCCTCGTCTCCCGGGGGCTCTCTCGGCCAGGAGCAGTAGTGGAAGCCTGCTTCGGGGTTGGGGAAGCTGCTCTCTGGCTACCCACAGGTTCCTTGGGGTCCAGTCTCCGGGAAGCGCTGAAATGACATTGAAAATGACTGTGTTAGAGACACATCTTAGAGAAGCAGCCTGCAGAGAGGACTCTATGAAGCTAAGCGACGTTGCCAAGCCCCACCACCACCCTCATCCTCCTGCCCAGTGGCATCATCTCAGCCACCATTCGCTGTGCTCTGCTGAGCCCTGACAAGCATCTCCCGCTTGAACCATCAGTACCAGGCCATGTGGCAGGGTCTTGAGTGTCCCTCTTACATCCTGACAGAGTGTGGATCCCCAGTCAGTAGGTCTGGGGTCAGCTAAAAAAAATTTTTTTAGATTTATTTATGTATTCAAAAGGTGGAGCTATAGAAGAGAGGCAGAGGTAGAGAGAGAGGGAAGTCTTCCATCCACTGGTTCACTCCTCAAATGGCCACAATGGCGAGGGCTGGGCCAGACCAAAGTCAGGAGCCAGGTGCTTCATTCGGATCTCCCGCATGGGTGTAGGGGCCCAAGCACTTGGGCCATCTTCTGATGCTTTCCCAGGTCCATTAGCAGGGATCTAGATGGAAGGAGAGGACCCAGGACTCAACTGGCGCCCATATGGGATTCTGGTGTTGCAGGTGGCAGCTTAACCTACTATGCCATAGTGCCAGCCCTGGATGCAATGTTTTAAAAAGATTTATTTACTTGCTTATTTGAAAGGCAAAGGGGACAGCACTGTAGCAAAGAAGTGCCTGGGCCTCTGCACTCACACAGGAGACCTGGTAAAAGCTCCTAGCTCCTGGCTTTGGCCTAGCCCAGCCCTAGCTATTGCAGCCATTTGATGGAAGATTCTCTCTCTTTCTCCCCCCACCCCACACTCTCTCTTTCCTCTCTCTGTATTTCTGCTTTTCAAATAAATAAATAAATCTTTTAAAAAACACAGAAAATTAACAAAATGAAGGGCAGAGCAACAGAGAGAAAGGGAGAGACAGAGATCTTCCATTCACTGGCTCACTCTTTTAACGCCAAGTTGAAGCCAGGAGCTTGGAATTCCATCCTGATTGCCCATGATGGATGGCAGGGGCCCCAGTGTTTGGGCCATCTTCTGCCACCTTCCTAGGTACATTATTAGAGAGCTGGATCAGAAGCAGAGCAGCCAGGACTCCAACCTGCACTCTGATATGGGATGCCAGTGGCTTAACCCACTACACCTCAATGCCGGCCTCCTCGGCTATAATTTAATAAGTTCACAAATCCTGGTCTGTGAACTACACTTTGAGTACCAAGGCTCTACACCAGGGGTAAAGGAACTTTTTCTGCCAATGGCCACTTGGGTATTTGTAACATCATTCACAGACCATACAAAATTACCAAATAAAAAATTAGCCTGCTAATAGATGTATTAATTTTCAAGTCCAGCCAGACCAAATGATTTCATGGACCTTATATGGCCCACAGGCTGGATGTCCCAAACCCCTGCCAAATCAACACAGCAGAAACACCTAGGGTGATTTTTTTTTTTTTTTTTTTTTGATAGGCAGAGTGGACAGTGAGAGAGAGAGAGAGAGACAGAGAGAAAGGTCTTCCTTTGCCGTTGGTTCACCCTCCAATGGCCGCCACAGCCGGCGCGTTGCGGCCGGCGTACCGCGCTGATCCGATGGCAGGAGCCAGGTACTTATCCTGGTCTCCCATGCGGGTGCAGGGCCCAAGGACTTGGGCCATCCTCCACTGTATTCCTGGGCCACAGCAGAGAGCTGGCCTGGAAGAGGGGCAACCGGGACAGAATCCAGCGCCCCAACCGGGACTAGAACCCAGTGTGCCGGCACCGCAAGGCAGAGGATTAGCCTAGTGAGCCGCGGCGTCGGCCCTAGGGTGATTTTTAAACTCCAGAACCCCAGATGGATCACATCGGATTTTGTGGGGGAAGCCTCTTAACATTAGTAGTTTTCGTTCCTTAGGTGATCCAATACACAGCCCACGTTCAGTGCTACTGCCCTGGACAGTCTGTTGTTCTTATTTGTCACCTTCAGAGGCTGAACCCAGACTGTGGGTGATCCCAGCAGTTAGCAGAGCCCAGGCCCATTTCTCCCCAACCTCCCCCTTTTGCCAATCAGGTAAACTGCTCAAGGGTGTGGCCCAGGCCCATTAGGCCCACCTGGAAAGCTGCGTGACTTTCAAGCTGATAGGAGAAGCATATTGGCGCCAGTATTGGTTCTGTCCTATAGTCAGTGTTCCCGAGTTAGGCCCCTTCTCCCTGCTTTTTAAAAAGCCTACATGGCTGTTAATGAACAGACATGTTCATCGAAGCCTGTCTGCAGTGTTTCTTGGTGGGAAAGGACACCGCCCCCTGCTCTCCTCGACCATGTGGCTTTTAAGGACCAAGCTGCACCGGACAGCTGGGGAAGGAGGGGCATTTAATGCCATTTCCAGCAGGGACCTCTGTATCCAAAGTAAGCCTAATTCCAAACCAAGTCTAGTAAGACAGGATGAGGGTGACTTTTGCACGAGTGCAAGGCTGGGTAGGGCTGGAGCTCTGCAGCGCGGTCATTGAGAAACCAGCTGGCCTGGCTGCAGGAGCCTGCAGAGTTGGGAAGTTCAATAAAAGGCAAAAAACATCAAACAAAAATTCAATCCCCTTATATTTCTTCTCCTTTGATCCAAATTAAGCTTACTTCTTCCAATTTTCTTCTTTTCCAATTTGAAAGAGGCTGAACACAGAAAATCAAAAGCAACGCTTTAAATTGCTTCCTGAAATTCTCTATTTACCTTGGACTGGGTTCATCTGGGTGGATGCTGGCACCCGGGAGTCAGAGCAGACATGCTGAGAGCAGCTACCGAAGCCCGGCCACAGCTGCCTGCCGAGCAGCCTGCCTTGGCCCTTTTGCCCCAGTCTCCCCAGTCCTTGGAGGCTCTGCTCCCGGCTGAAGGCCATCTAACTTGCCAAAAAGATCCAGGAGGCAAATGGTAGCGACGTCTTAGGTCATGAGTAGAGAAGAGGAGCCCACCTCAGGAGGCTCATCCTGAATCACTCCACAGGTGGCCTCCCTTCTGAATAAGTGGGGGTAGAGACACATATGTCAGTCCAATAAAGATCATTCCAGAGAAAAGCCACGCTAGTAAATGTCCATCGAACATTCCTTCCATCAGCACGAACATGCGCCTAACCACACACAGACCTGCCATTTCCTTTAGCAGTAAGACACCAGAGCATGAGTCTAGCATCTCTGTCCCAGCTGTGGGGTGTACCCTGGTAGGGGCGCAGTCTGGTGGGGGCACAAACTGGAGGGGGCACAGCCTGGGGGGGCGCAGCCTGGAGGGGGTGCAGCCTGAGGGGGCACAGCCTGGGGGGCATAGCTTGGAGGGGGACACAGACTGGGGGGTCAGCCTGAGGGGGCACAGCCTGGGAGGGGTGCAGCCTGGGGGGGGTGCAGCCTGGAGGGGGCACAAACTGGTGGGGGCACAGCCAGGGGGCACAGTTGGGGGGGTGCAGCCTGGTGGTGGCCACAGCTTGATCGAGGCACTGTCTGGGGGGCACAGCCTAGTGGGGGCCACAGCCATGCTGGCCCACATGCAGAACGAGGGCTCCTCCATGGTCTTTCAGGAGACTGATTTCTAGGTATCGTAAAGAAAGATTTCCTATTTGTTAAATTAATGTTTCATTTTCTCACTTAAATTATTTGTGGCTGGAATTTAAAAGCAGCGCTTGAAAGCTAATCAGAAGCAATGGAGAGTCCTTTATTAGACAAGAATGGGCCACAGCCCTCCCCCCAGGCCTCTGAGAAACGTAGCAATTTACATGGGTTGACTAGTGAGTGACAGGCGATCTTTTGTGTACACAGTGACTTTTTTACTTGAATGTTGCATCACAGTGTGATAGTTCTGGATACATTTTCTCCAGATCCATGGCCTGGCCCAAACCAATACGTATTTCCTGAACAGATGGGCCACAGACACATCACGGCTCAGAACAGTCAAACGTGGCCCCAAAGCGTCAGGCTGAGGAACTATGGCAAGGGCCTAGCACAGCCCTCAGCTCTCTGCAGATGGCCTTATACACTGGAGCCCTGCAGGCGCAACTCCTGGAGCCCTCCCTGGCTCAAGCCCACCGCAGAGGGTTTTCTGCTGACAACCACAGCGGTAATGTCGTCGCAAGACACCTGTCACATACCAACTGGGAAGCCTCACAGAAACTTCACCGGGTAAGGATCCATTCTGCTCATTTTACAGACAAAGAAACTGCCATGCATACAAGCTAAGCAGCTTGCAAAGCCACCATGACTTTCAGGTAATAGAGCTGGGATTATGGGATCCAGTCCGCCTGGCCCTGTCCTTAACCACCGTCCTGCACTCTGTAGACAAGCACAGCATAGCTGTTGAGGGGTGAGAAGCAGTGCAATTTGTGTTCTTTGTATTCTTGTTTCTTATTTTCTCAAGAGCTGGTTAAGTTCAAGTTCTGCAGGAGGCAGTCTCTGACCACTCTGATGCCACACTATTCCCAGACCCGATTTCATGCACATGCAAAGGGAACAGAAAGGTGTGTGAACGGTAGAGTGAGCCACAAAACATAGCCCAGTTGGGGCAGTGACATCATTCCGTTATGGCCATGTTGCCTGGAGCATGCTCAATACCACCAAGAGACTCACAGAGAAAATGACTCCAGTAACAGACATTCGTTCATGCATTCATTCAGGCACTTGTTCCATCTTTTAGTTATTCACATACATTTACTGATTCCTGGACCAGTTCCAGGCCCTGTGATAGGTTTTGAAGGTATAAAGGAATCATTTCTCTTATAATGGGATGTAGGGCCACAAGTGCTCACTGTATTGTCATTCTTCACATCTTATACATATTTTATAAGCCTTCTTGCTAAATACCTATTCAATATTTCATTAAGATACATTTTTATAAAAGTGAATCAGACAGGGATCCAGTCCTCCAGGGGCCTTCCATCTAGAGTAGAGACAGATGTGCAAGCAAATCACTGCCCCATGGTCCAGGGAGAGGCAGAAGCCACAGAAGGCTTCAAGGACATGGAAACATCTAAATCAAGTCTCCT